CTGGCCTAAGGGATTTTAAAGGGGTTTTAATTACTTTTAAATTTGACGTATCTAAATATTTCTTTTTAATCAATTTTTAATTAGATGTATATGTTAGTATTTTAATCATTGTCAGCCGCCCTGAGTCCGCAAGGAGAAGGGCGGGATATAAATGCAATTAAATAAATAAATAAATAAATAAATAAATAAATAAATAAATAAATAAATAAATAAATAAATAAATAAATAAATTTTTTTCTAATCTACTGATGTGCTTTCCGTCAAGTACATACGTAATATGTAAAAAATCCACCTCCAATACTCAGAGCAGCTCACCTGTGATGAATTTGATGGCCTTGAGCTTATCCTCCAAAGTAGCTTACTACCAGGTATAACTTGCACAGTTTCTTGAATCTCTGGCATATCGTCGGCTTCATCATTTTCAGGGTCCTCTCTCTTAAAATGAAATAATTAGGCATATCCAATCAAAAGAGCATCAAGGAACTTCTGAACTACTTTCAAGTCATATATGGCTTCCATTTAGGCACAACGCTTCCTGGTTTCTTAAACCAAAGGTTCGGGAAGACCTTAAACAGCAAGCTATGATTTAAGGCAGAATGTTTCCAAACTTGGCAACTTTAAGACTTGTGGACTTCAACTCCCAGAATTCCTCAGCCAGCCATGTTGGTTGGGAAATTCTGAGAATTAAAGTCCACAAGCCTTAAAGTTGCTAAATTTGGAGACCTCTGATTTAAGGGCTCCCAACAGTTTGAACTATGGTGCTGGAGAAGACTCCTGTGAGTCCCTTGGACTGCAAGGCGATCAAACCGGTCAGTCCTAGAGGAGATCAACCCTGACTGCTCTTTAGAAGGCCAGATCCTGAAGTTAAAACTCAAATACTTTGGCCACCTAATGAGAAGGAAGGTCTCACTGGAGAAGAGCCTGATGCTGGGAAAGATTGAGGGCAATAGAAGAAGGGGACGACAGAGAATGAGGTGGCTGGATGGAGTCACTGAAGCAGTAGGCGTGAGCTTAAAGGAACTCCAGAAGATGGTAGAGGACAGGAAGGCCTGGAGGAACATTGTCCATGGGGTCGCGATGGGTCGGACATGACTTCGCAACTAACAACAACAACAACTCTTTCCCAACATTATCCAATTTGGATATCCTTGGGGGAGGATTTTAAAAACCACAAAGCCAATTTAGAAAAAGACATGGGAAGAAGAATGGGGAAAGACGGAGCATCCAAGTTCATTTATGGTGCAATGAACTGTTGAAGCAACAACACGTAGGCTCAATCTCCCTCTCATTCCCTGCAGCACAGAAACTTCATTACATACTTCCATACCTCCATACTCGTTAAATTAATCTTCTCAGGCTAAGCTATGTTATTCAAAACAGGAAAAAAACCAGTAACTAATATTAACCATAGTTAAAGGGAGGAAAGTAAAAAAGAAGCAAAGGATAGCTGGTTCACATCATTTTACTTCTCCGTATTTTTCTATCCTTAAAATCCATCTTTGCTTCAGCCACGCCATAGACCCGTGGTGGTGAACCTATGGCACAGGTGCCAGAGGCAGCACTCAGAGCCCTCTCTGTGGGCACGCGTGCTGTCGCCCCAGTCCTAGGCCTTCAGCTGGGTTTTATAAAACCTTTTCGCTTTAGGCCACCGCCGCCGTGTGCAAAAAAAAAGGTTCAATCAGTCAATTTCAACTTCTCGCGGGGAAAAAAAAGATCTTGCAAAGTTGAAATTGATTGATTGAACTTTTTAGTCCCACCCAGTCTGCCATTACCACCGCAGCCACGCCCACCCAATTGGCAACACCCAGCCAATGGGCCACACCCACCCGACACTCAACGATGCATAAGTGGGTTTTGGGTTGCAGTTTGGGCACTCAGTCTCTAAAAGGTTTGCCATCACTGCCATAGACCATGTCATTCATTGCCTCTTATTCATTAAAATCCCCTCTCTCCTCCTTGCCAATATCTGCTCCTACTTTACTCTCACTCTTGTACTATTTATTACAATCCCCCACACTCACAAGGGCCAAAAATATCTCTTCTTTCAATTTCACCCCTTTGCCTGCTCATTTTATCAACAACTGTTCTAAAAGCCTCCCATTGCAATGAATTGCAGAAGGGAGAACAATGTATACCATTTCTTGCCTTTGGCAATATGGGCAGCATATAGGTTTAATTAATAAATAAAAAAGGATTTCCATATACAGGCAAACCTCAACTTACAACCGGTCACTTAGCCACCATTCAAAGTTACAATGGACCTCCCGGAGCTAATTACGACCCCCATTCAAAGTTGCAAGGCCAGCAGCCCCCTCGCCCTGCAGTCAACATATTGGGTGCTCAGCAACCACCTGCATTTATGGCCACAGTCACATGGCCACAATTTATGACTGGTGTATGCTTTTGATTTCTGGCAAAAGAAAACCCATTGCAGACAATGGATTTGTTTAATGGCTGCAACACTGGCTATGTGACCGCTGCAAAAATAGTTGTAAAATTGGTACAGTCAATGACGATTTGCTTAATGATTGGCATATTTATGACAATAATTCTAGGTTCCAATCGGGCCATAAATCAAGGACTAACTGTAATCCCTGATTGCCCTGGACACCACCTTGAATAATCCCAGAATTTATCAAGGTAAAGATGATACCCTTATCGCAAGGGTAGGCAACCTTGGCTCTTTTATGACTCGTGGACTTCAACTCCCAGAATTCCTGAGTCAGAGCTGACTCAGGAATTCTGGGAGTTGAAGTCCATTAGTCATAAAAGAGCCGAGGTTGCCTACCCCTGGTATAGGGTTTCCTGCCTGAGCAGGGGGTTGGACTCGATGACCTCCAAGGTCCCTTCCAACTTAGATACTGTAGATACTGTAAACCAGGGGTAGTCAACCTTGGCTCTTTTATGACTCGTGGACTTCAACTCCCAGAATTCCTGAGTCAGAGCTGGCTCAGGAATTCTGGGAATTGAAGTCCACGAGTCATAAAAGAGCCAAGATTGACTACCCCTGCCTTATCGTAACCTAAGCAACAATCCTCCCATTTGCACTGTATCCTGTTTAGAAAACAATTTTCTTTAAAAAGATGTGCAAGCTCCTTTATTTTCATAAAACTTACCGGCTTTGGTTTCTTCTGATCGCCACCTTTTCTCTCGTTCTTCTTGTAGTTTTCGTAAGAGTAAGGATCAACGCACCACAAGCATTCTGTCCATTTCCCATAGATCACTGAGAGTTTCTTCTTACTGTTTTTAAAAGATATTTTAGCTTACTCAGATCCTGTAAATTTCCAGCCTAATTAACATCTGATAGAATCTAACTCAGCCCTAACAGCACAAATGAAATATGTATGAGTGTTAACATGGGCTTATGAGATTAACCTTTCTAATACGAAGGAATGTCACTCTAACTACCGATACTGTAGTGTTATTTTTCTTTCCCACAATCA